GTCGGTTTTATCGGTTTATACTCTTCTACCACTTTAACGACCAATTGTTGGGAGAGATACTAGGTAAAAACTTGAGAGTCGAGCACGTGAATCTAACGCGCGACGACTTTTGCTCTCAATCCTAACCCGAAGTTCTTTCGCCGCTCCTCTTCCATTCGCCTCTCCGGTTCGGTGTCGACTAGCACTACGAGAGGTCAGTCAACCGTTTTACTTTCTATCTTGTTTGCGGTGGCTAAACCTCTGTGATGTTGCTAGATTTGTTCTCTCTTACGGCGAGTGGTTGGAGATGCGCTGCGCGTGATGGCTGCGTCTAGGTTTAGAATTTTCTTCCGGCGGTGGTTCCTCGGGTTTCGATGGCGAGTGGCATCGCCGGGGTTCAGCTAATTCCCTTCATCTGCTTCACGCTTATCGGTCGACGTAGATCTACGTCGTAGACCATTCTTCTCCTTCGAGTCTCTGGTGATGGTGAAGCTTCAATCAGTAATGGAGCGACAATTTCTCGTTGTCTTACGGCTTCTCCATCTTCTCGGTCTCGATTCCTTCTAGGTTATGTCTAAAAAATCCGCAGTGCCTCTTTCTTTCTGGTGGATGGGCTTCTTCTCCGACCAAGTCTTCCGCTCAAGGACAGTTCTTGCTCTTGATGAGTGTCGCTCGTGTCTTCACCTCAAAGGCCAAGATTATCTTTTGGGGTTAGTAACTTGCTGAAATCTCTGTTGGTTAAGACGTAGTCTCCTTCGCTGATGGAGCTTTGGTCTCCTTGTCCTCTCCCTATTAGATTTGGTTTCAGGGGAATGCTTTTGGTTTGTGTTTTTCTAGACTTATCCTCTTGACAATTAGTCTCGATGAAATGGCAGCCTCTATTTTCGGTTAATCTGCAGGTGGACAGTTGTAGATTCTCCTTGAGTGTGATCATTGTGGCGTCTCGGGTGTGAAATATTGTCTAAGTCATGGCCCTGATTCTTTTACGGTGATGTACTCCTTGTCTTGGTCTAGCTTCCGGTGGTGGCTATTTTCCTTCTCAATGTGTTTGCATCCGTGTATATCTAGTCGTGATGGTTGCTTTAGGCCAGTTGTGGTTTGTGTCTTGTTGCTGGTGTTGCTTCGTTGATGTAGTATTGCTCGCTTTGCGTTTGGGTTTGGTTGCTTAAGGCTTATAAACTAGAGGAGCTGGTAAGACTAATTGTGGTTTGTTGAATCTAGTGGTTTTATCTAACTTTGTACTAGCCGACTTCAAGAGAAACTTGGTAGGTAACGCTCATTTTGGTTTGTGAAGTTTATTCTTTGTGTTAGCTCATGGAATTGCTCATCAAGAGTCTCTCACGTGATGCGAGAGGAGTATGTGATCGAGAGTTTGGACGACTTTCCTGTCGACTTATTTAGGGGTCTCCATTGAAAGGTTTCTAGCGATATGGCTTTAAGTATCACCAGCTTTTGCGATTTTGCTTATGCATCTTCATCTCATCCAACTGATTTGGGAAGAACAAACACAACATAATCACTTCGTCTAACTCCACTAGTCTTCGTGCTTTTGTTAAGTGTACGGACTGAAAAGTCTAAAAACCTTAACGATTTATGCTTCCATATTTTTACTATTTTTGTCATGGGATCAATATTTAGGTTTATAAATTCGTTTGTAACCCTAAGACGTTTTCATTTATAATGAAATATTTACATTTTCAACAAAAAAAAACACTAATTGTTTGTGTTTTATGGTTTTGTGCTCTTTGAAGTCTTTTCTACAATTGATCATGCCACTATAGTTGATTTCTATCATTATTAGTGTTTAGGTTAATAAATACATATTCGTTTGTTGTATAAATAAATTTAACATTTTAATCATTAATTATATTCCAAGCCGTTACA